TATTTTTTAGTCTATATATATATTTTTTCTCCTTACCGAGGCTTCGGCACAAGAACAATTGCTTGAGTTCAACACATCCAATGATCGCTAATAAATATCTTTTGTCTTGGTATTTTGTTTACCTTTTTAATCGTCTATAGTCAGAGGGTGTCGACCTGGAAAACAAGTGCAGCTTGCAGAGTTTGAAATTAAATACCTTTGTACAAAAGCGAGAGAAATTTTTATCTCTCAGCCTATACTTCTCGAACTTGAAGCTCCAATAAAGATTTGTGGTGAGATTTGGTTAAATTTCGTCAACATCTAATTTTTGCTTTTGGTATTGATATCGTTCTTCTACAGGTGATATACATGGTCAATATTACGATCTGTTAAGGTTATTCGAATACGGCGGTTTCCCACCGGAAGCAAATTACCTATTTCTTGGTGACTATGTTGATAGAGGAAAGCAATCATTGGAAACGATTTGTCTTTTATTGGCGTATAAGATAAAATACCCAGAAAATTTCTTTATTCTGCGTGGGAACCATGAATGTGCGAGCATCAATCGTATTTACGGTTTTTATGATGAATGTAAGCTTTTATTGAATGAATGTGCTTAGTTTTCAGACAATACTGTGAACCACTGAATTATCCACGTGTAATTTTCCTAATAATTTATTCAATTTATCAGGCAAGCGAAGATATAAGGAAGGGAGATATTATGATACATCTAAGTATTGTTCATATAAAACTTTTTAAAAAAAAATAATTTATTCTAAAAATTTGAAGAAATAGATTACTCAGGTAATTGACTATCTACCAATAAAAAAAAAACATTCTTAAAAAAAAATTATTGAAATATAAACCTTCAAAATTTACTTATAAAATACTATGTTTTTTACATTTAGGAGATATTATGATACACATCAGATAGTGTCAAATTAATGTCAGAAATATAGTATTACAGAAATATATAATATACATAATATATATACAGATACATAGTATAACTATACATGATTATCTTTTTTTTTTTTGTAACTATTCTTCTTTTTTTCACTCATTTTCTTCTTTTTTTCTTTTTTTTTTAGCTTTCTGGTTAGCTTGTTTTTGGACTGCCTCTTCTTTTCTTTTTTTAATACCTTCTGCTTTGTTCTTTGCTAATTTATCTATTTTCTTTAACATTTGTAGAGATTTTTTATTAATAAAAAGTTAGGCAAAGAGAAAGTTTTTTCTTTTCTTTGGTTGATTAAACTCTGTTTTATTTGTCTGTATTGAAACTTGAGAAGTAGAGTATTTAAGAGCTAATTTTAATGCACAGGTACTAGGATTTTTAAACGTCTCAAGTTCTTCTTTTAGCAGCATATTTTCTCTTCTTAGAGTATGAATTTCTGCTTTAATAATTTAACTTTTGCATTACTAGTATGTATAAAATAACTTGAAGAAGATGATAAAGAAAACAAGAAAGAAAACAAGAAAGAAGAAAATGATGAAAAAGAAGACAATGAAGAAGACAATGAAGAAGACAGTGAAGAAGACAGTAAAGAAGATAGTGAAGAAGATAGTAAAAAAACAGTAGTGAAAATAATGATATTGAAAAAGATGGTGTTGAAGAAAATGATATTGAAGAAGATAGTGTTGAAGAAGATAGTGAGGAAGATGATAATATTGAAGATAATATAGGTAGATAATTATTTGTTGAGAAAGTAGATAAGCTACTAATTTGTTCAGTAGATAAAGAGAAAGCGAGGTGATGGGGGCTAATAGTATTAGAGTTAAAAGGCCAAATTTCTGTAGCTCTGAATGCATTAGCTATTGTTGCAGGAGTGTAAGTCTTAATAAATATGGGATCAAGTATTTTAGCAAATATATACTTAGTCACTAACTTGCTACCAATTACATGATAAAGTTCATCATAATTTTTACTATATTCAGTTTTAAATTTGGCAAAAAAAAGTTCAGATAGTTGAAGAATATGCGTTGTATAGATGGAAGTGCATATAATAAAATTTTATTTTCATGACAAAAATTAATACTTATATAATTTATATGACTACTATGACCATCAAGTATCAAAAGAAAAGGATAACAAGAAGGAATAGAACTTATAAAATCTTCTATATATATTTGGAAAAGTTTTTCATACATATACTTCAAGTTAATAAAACCTATACCTATACTGGATAGAGCTTTATTTAACAAACTAGAAATTGTACAAATATCTTTATATATAATTAAAGGAGTGATATAATCACCAAAGGCCAAAATCATTAGTGCAACAAAAATGTAATTGTGTAAATTACTATAAGCAATCTTATGAATTTGACATGAGCCTTTAGTAGCAAGGACTTTTTAAACCTTGGAAGCTATAATGAAGCCAGTTTTGTTTATGTTCCAAATATGATCCAAAATAAGTAAATTATCTTGAATTATCTTATTTAATTTATCAAAATGATCTTTAACAATAGTTGGATTGAATTTTTGTACATGTGCTTCTGACAAGGCTTGAGGCACTTAAAAAGATAGTTTAGGATGTTCTTTTATAAAATATTTTTACCAAGCTCTACCAGGTCTACTTTCTTTGAAAGGATGATTATGACTATTACTATTTACAATATTCATTATGCAGTGGTTTATCCCAAATCTTGTAAGACCAAATCTGAGTTTTTGCATATTCATACAATAACTCACCAATTGTTCTTCTTCATAGCAACTTAAAACTGTTACAGAGTCAGAATTGTTAGGTATATTATTTTTTTTAAATGCATGTTTTAAAGTTGTCTCTGCAAGACCAAATTGTAATATGGCAGCTTATATACTAGGTGGGTTTGGGTTGTTAAGTGCTTTAAAAGCTGATTTTAGAGCATTTTCATGTATAACTTTTGTATTTATTAATTTATTAATAGGATTTTTAGTTACAATTTCAGAAGAATTGGATTTTTTATTACTTGATATTTTGGTTTATTTATTTTATTTAATTCTTTATTTTTTATTTGTTTTTTTTTTAATTGTAAAATTAGATTTTTAATATATTTTATATATTTTTAACATGCTTATAGGTTGATAGTTTGTTATTTACAAACACAATCATAATTATGTTTGTATACAATTATAATTGTAATCATGATTGTATACAATCACAACTATAGTTGTGTTTGTATATAATCATAATCATAGTTATGATTGTATACAATTATGATCGTAGTTATAATTGTATACAATTATAATTGTAGGTAATTGTGTTAAGATTATATGCAATTATGATTATAATCATATTTGTATACAATTATAATTGTAGATAATTGTAGTTAAGATTGTATACAATTACAATTATGATTGTATTTGTATACAATTATAATTGTAGATGATTGTAGTTGCAATTATGATTATAATTATATTTGTATACAATTATAATTGTGGGTGATTGTGATTAAGATTATATGCAAATAAATAAATAAGACTAGACGATTGCAAATTTTATAATTAAACAAAGCTATTTTTAAATTTAAATAAAACAAGCCTGCAATTAAAAAATTATTTTAACTAAATTTGCAAACAAAGATATTTTTCAAATATAAATAAAAGCTTTATACGATGCTTATTTCAATAAAAAAATTTCAAAACATGTCAAATCATCAAAGTGAAAGCCTAAATGATCCAGTTTTAAACACTTGCAATGATTTAATGAGAAACACTTATACTACAAGCAAATTTAAAGAAAAAATAAACTATGTTCTCCCATATCTTTATGAGAGATTAAGAAACACGATACATTATTTTGTAAAACTTGTTATTACAGATGTAATCATTGAGCCAATTGATATTCATTGTGCTCACATAGACCAATATTATCAAATTAAAGATTTTATTATATATTTTGCTGAAGTTATTTATTATTTTAGAGATTTAGCTAAGATGGAGTATATTTTTGTAATGGAAAAAAAATTTAACAAAACCACAGATGATGTTTTTGATCAAGAAAATAAATATTGATTTAAAAGTAAGGGGTTTGAAATGTGTAAATTCATTGAAATATTTTTTACTCTATAAGAATTTGACATATTTAATGTTAACTTTAAAAAATTTTATGAAGACTGTTATAGTTCTCATATAAATGAGAAACTTAGTGTGTATAACAAAATTTTTCATTGTCTTGATCCCGAACCTTCAATTAGACATTAATTAATTACTTAATTTAGTATAGTATTATGTAAATAATTTTAATTAATAATTGTACCAGCATGTAAGTACTAACCTGATTAGTCAGGTCGGTGCCAAAAATATTAGCAAATTTAAGGTTTTTGATTGTAACTCGAAAACTATCGCTCTAAATAAAATGAATTTAATATCATTTGTTTCGTCTCAGTAAGAGGAATCGTATAATACCAAAATTACTCAGTTCTAATCAGTGTATCACGAGATATCATCAAAAAACGTGAGTGCGTCACAATACCCACCTGTGTCATAATACCCCCCCTCCCTTACAGTATCCGGGTATATTCACCACCCATTTGGCTTAATTCTTGAATAATACCTGGTGTATAACTATATTTAATTTATTACTATCATGATGTATTCCTCGCACATTACCCACGGGACTATTCAATTTTAAACCGAATTTCTTGAATAAGGCCAACTTACCAGTGTTGGCACATGACCAGGTCATAACAGATCATTACTAAGTTCAATTAGTGAAGTCATATGACTAAGGTCATATGACCTCACTAATTGAACTTTGTAGTAATATGACCTGTTATGACCTGGTCATGTGCCAACGCCACCACTTTAGTGGCCAACGTCTCAATTAATGGGTCAAAGTATGTTGAAAATGTGTTGGGAATTAACGGATGACGATATTTATAGAATTAAATTATTAAAGTATACTTTTTCGTAATGTTCGCTATACTACCCAAAAACCTAATGAAAAAATTCTTTTCGATCAACGTTAAAGTTTCAAATTTAGTTACATCAGCCCTTTCTTATCCGTCAAATATGGAAAAACATCTTTCAGTTTTAGGTTTTTACTGAGAAGATTTTAAATTTAAATGAATATAACGGTATTCATTATGGTTTGGTTAAATGTTATAGGATTATTGTATTTATTACGTTCATATTAATGTACCGAATATTTGTATAAAAGCTTCGAACATTAAAAATAAAGTGGTTATTAGAGATGTAACCAGCTCGTTCGGCTCTATTCATTAATCGGTTTTTATAATAGTTAAATATACAAACCAGATCAAGACGATAGCATCCCTAGTGGATATCTTTTTTAGATCGGTTAGAAATTTGTTAAGAATTAATTGTTTATTATGTTTGATATGTAAAAAAATGTAAATGTAATGCTTGTGCGACCTTTATCAAGTATTGCTCACACTTTTATTATGATATTCATTATCGACACACATTTTTTGATAAATCCTCACAAACAGTGATTAAGATCTTTTATTTTCTGATCTATCATTACAAATGAGCATTTATATTAACTGATATCCCGATAACTCTATTATAATCCCGATTAAATCTATATTTATCGATTTACGTTCAGAATTATTCCATAGACATATCGGGTACCCCGACACGTCTATATTTGAATATCAAAGTCTCCAAAATATTTAAA